CGGGAGTGGCCACTGCACTCCAATCTGGGTGACAGAGTGAGACTCCAACTCAAAAAAAAGAAAAGAAATGTGGTACATATACACAATGGAATATTATGTAGCCATAAAGAAGGAAAAACATATGGACTTCACAGCAACTTGGATGGATTTAGAGTCTATCATACTCAGTAATCTATCACAGAAACAGAGAACAGAGTACCATATGTTCTCACTCATAAGTGGACCTTGAACAATTATCATAATACTATAAGAAAGAATGGCTGGGCATGGTGGCTCAGCCTGTAATCCCAGCATTTTCAGAGGATGAAATGAGAGAATTGCCTGATCCTGGGGGTTCAAGAACAGCCTGGGCAACTTGGTAAGATCTTGTCTCTACAATAAATCACCAAAAACCCTAGCTGAGCATGGTGGCATGCATCTGTAGTTCCAGCTATTTGGAAGGTTGAGACAAAAATGTCACCTGAGCCGGGCTCGGTGGCTCAGCCTGTAATCCCGCGCCTTTGGGAGGCTGAGGTGAGTGGACTGCCTGAGCCCGCGGGTTCGAGACCCACCTGGGCAGCGAGACCTCATCTTTACAATAAATCAAAAAATCAGCCGGGCATGGTAGCGCGTGCCTGTAATTCCGGCTACTCGGAAGGCTGAGGCGGAAGGATCGCCGGAGCCCAGCAGGTCGAGGCTGCGGTGGCCGGGAGCGGCCACTGCACTCCAGACTGGGCGACCGAGTGAGACTCCAACTAAAAAAAAAAAAAAAAATGTCACCTGAGCCCAGTACGTGGAGGCTGCAGTGGCATGTTCATGCCACTGCACTCTAGCCTTCCAGTCTGGGCAATAAGAGTGAGACTTTAACTGAAAAAAAAAAAAAAAAAGAGGGGAATAGGCAGTAGTGGGAAACTTCAGCGGGGGTGCACATGTCATCAACAAGGGTACCTGCATCATGAACATTTGTACACCTAACCCTGAATTGTACCCCATATCTTTAAAAAAAAAAAACAACTCCCCAAGTGGTTTTAATATGCATCTTTGACTAAACTCGTTCCTAAATGAATGAATAAACATTCTACATTAAAACCAAAAAGAAGGGGAGGGAGGGGGATGGGATTAACAGTCGCAAATATCTGTCTGGGGATGGGGAAACACCTCTTATCAACAGGGTGCCTGAATGAAACGTAATTGTACACCTAACCCTTAACTGTACCCCACAAAATCATAATAAAAAATATTTATTAAAAAAACAAAAACAAAAAAAAGAATAAGGAATAGATATTTTTCACACCTCTAGTTTAAATATTTCCTACTATACTTTCTGCATTCAACAGGGCTTTTTTGGTTTTGTTTTTGTTTTTTTGAGTTGGAGTCTCACTGGAGTGCAGTGGCCGCTCCTGGCCACTGCAGCCTCAACCTGCTGGGCTCCGGCGATCCTTCCACCTCAGCCTTCTGAGTA